CTCCAACCTAGGCTTCTCCCCTAAATTCCAGACTTACATCACTTCTCCATTTAGATGTCTAGTTGGCATCTCAAACTTAAAAAGTCCAAAGCCAACTCCTGGCCAATATTTAGTCCTTCCAAGTCTTATCCATCTCGGTAAATGGCAAGTCCATCAGTTCAGTAGTACGGGCTGAAACAATTTAGGGCTCACCTTTGAACCCTCTCTTGCTCCTTTACCCTACATTCACAATGACAGAAAAGCCGATGGCCTTTACCGAAACAATAGATCCAAAATCCTACTTGTTAAAGAGTTTTATTTTTTATATATTTTATCAAAAGTACAACCAAGACCCATTATTTTCCACTGCCATCAGCCTTGTCTGAACCACTGTCGCCTTCCACCTGAGTGACTGCAACAGCCTGCTAAGCTGTGTCACTATTTCCACGCTGGTGCCCTGCTTAACACAGAGCCGGGGGGGTCCTTTTAAAATTGATATTGGATCAAGCCACTCAAGACTCTCCAAAGATTTTCTCTCTCAAAGTAACAACTAAATGTCATAAGTTCACATGATCTCACTGATTTGTGGAACATAATGAACAAAATAAGCTGTTGACGCAGAGAGATCCAGAACCGAGGGAGCAGGGAGCAGACTGACAAACCTCGCAGGGAGGGTGGGAGAGACAGACGAAAGAACCAATACGCACAACAAATCAGCATGGACACTAGGCTGGGGAGGCAGGAGGGTGGGAGCAGAAAGGAGAAGGTCAATGGGGAGAGAAGGGGGCCACCCGAAATGCTTTCAACAATTTTAAAAAAAGAATGTCTAACAATCACCAGCAAGCCTCAACTGATTTCTGAATTCGCCTCATACGACTCCTGTCCTTGCTCCCTCTCCTGGTCACAGTGACACACAACGGCAGGGTGCTTTAGTCGACCAAGTGAACCCTGCTGACGGCACCTACTCGTGCTCCCCCACTTGCCCTGGAAGCTGGTCCCCAGACATCCACGCCGCTGGCTTCACCCCCCTCCTGGAGGTCTTCAGTGACACCTGCTCTAATCACTACTGAAACTGCAGTCTTGCCCTGGTCAGGGGGGCTTCCGTGCTTGGAGCGTCGTCCAGTGCACCAAAGGTTCGTGGGCTTCATTTCCAGCCACGGCACGTACCCAGGTTGCGGGTCCCATCCCAGGTCGATCTCTGGTTGGGGGCGGTACAGGCGACAACGATCAATGTTTCTCTCTCGCATCAATGTGTCTGTCTCTCTCTCAGTCTCTCTCCCCTTCCTCTCTCTCTAAAACCAAGAACATATCCTCATGTAAGGATTTGAAGAGAAAACAACTGCAGTCTACCGCAGAAACTCTCTTCTACCTGCTTTGTTTTTCCCATAGCACTTGTCACCATCTCACACACTATATATTTTCCTTTTATTATACTTTGTTGTCTGTCTCCTCTCATTATATAGTACATCTTCCTCTCCCCCAAAAAAGGCAGGGATTTTTGTCATTTTAGTCATTGCTCTATTCCTAGCTCCTAGAAAATCTAGAATAGGCACAAGAATAGGCATATAGACCAGTGGAACAGAACAGAGAACCCAGAAATGGACCCAAGACAATATGCTCAATTAATATTTGACAAAGGAGGCAAGAGCATACAGTGGAGTCAAGACAGTCTCTTCAGTAAATGGTGCTGGGAAAATAGGACAGCTACATGCAAAAAAATGAAGCTAGAACGCCAAGTTACACCGTACACGAGAATAAACTCAAAATGGGTAAAAGACTTAAATGTGACTCATGAATCATAAAAATTCTAGAAGAAAATGTAGGCAACAAGATCTGACATCATACGCAGCAAAATCTTCACCAACATAACACCTAAGGCAATAGAAACAAAGGAAAAAATGAACACATGGGACTACATCAAACTAAAAAGCTTCTGCACAACGAAAGAAACAACCATTAAAACAGAAAGGGATCCCACTATATGAGAGACCATAATCGCCAATGATGCATCAGATAAAGGGTTAATTTCCAAAATATATAGAGTGCTCATACAACTCAACAAAAGAAAAAGAACACAGTTAAAAAATGGGCAGAGGACCTAAATAGACACCTCTACAAACAGGACATACAAATGGCCAAGAGACATATGAAGAAATGCTCATCATCACTAATCATCAGAGATGCAAATTAAAACAAGAATGAGGTATCACCTCACACCTGTCAGAATGGCTGCCATCAACAAATCATCAAACAACAAGTGTTGGAGAGGGTGTTGAGAAAAGGGGACTCTAGTGCACTGCTGGTGGGAATGCAGACTGGTGCAGTCACTGTGGAAAATGCTATGGTGTTACCTCAAAAAGTTAAAAATTGAACTGCCATTTGACCCAGTGATCCCACTTCTAGGAATATACTCTAAGAAACCTGAAACACCAATCAGAAAGAATATATGTACCCCTATGTTCATAGCAGCACTATTTACAATAGCTAAGATCTGGAAATAGCCCAAGTGTCCATCAGTAGATTAATGGATTAAAAAGCTGTGGTACATGTACACAATGGAATACTATGCAGCTGTAAGAAAGAAAGATCTCTTATCCTTTGAGATGGCATGGAAGGACCTGGAGAGTATTATGCTAAGCGAAACAAGCCAAGCAGAGAAAGACAAATATCACATGATCTCACTTATTTATGGAATATAATGAAGTAAACAAACTGCTGAACAAAATTAACCCAGAGACATAGAGGTGGGGTACAAACTGACAAGCCTCAGAGGAGGGGTGTTTGAGGGGGAAGAGATAAACCACAAACCTTACATGCATGTATGCATGACCAGTGAACACAGACAACAAAGCTGGAGACAGGATGGGGGGGGGGGTGTCACTGGGGGAAAAATAAGAAACATCTGTAACGAAAACAAATTTATAAATAAAAAATTAAAAAAAGAAAAGAAAATCTAGAATAATAGTGCCAGTAAACAACATTTAATAATATTTACTACAAGAATGAATGGATGAATCAGCAAATGCTTCTTACTCATCCTTAGTTTACCCTGTATTCATTAGTGTGAATTAATTTATTTTGTTTTTCCTTTCTACTGAGTGCATGTTGAATACAAGATATCTTTGCTTTGAAAAAGAAGTTTACAAAATATGCTATAGGGAAATTAAATACTGGACATTTGTTTGCATTTCAAGAAAATGTATGTGATTCTGAATTTATTTTTGTTTTGGCTACTGAATTTCAGTCAACATCATTACATCCCAGACACTTTGAAGAACATGGAAACTTTCCACCAACGTCCCCTTCCTGGACTCCTCAGTTCCAGCTGCCATACGTTACAAACTGAAAAAGTCTGTGGAATGCTTTATTATTAGTTGTATACATGTTAAAATGAGAGTATGGATATTTTATTGTACCCGTATGTTTACCTTCCTGATGTTCTTCATTTATCCCTAATGACTCGAGTTTCCTTCTCTACAGGGCACAGCTGGTGCCAACAAACTGCCGGACGCCCTCCCAGGACCTGAGGCCGCTCCCCCGATGACACTGCGGCTGATGGCTGCGGCTCCCACTCTGGCTGCTCTGATTTCTGAAGAAAGTGTGCCTTGGTCTTACCATATTTTGCCTACTGTCATTCTCTCTGAATTTACTTTGCTTGGTACTTCCTGAGTCCCTTCTCTCTATAAATGTAAGGTTTTTTTTTACCAAATTTGAGAAGTTTCAAATATTATTTCTTCCAATATTTTTTCTGGCCCCGTCTACTATGCTTTGCATACTGGGTGGGCAAAAGTAGGTTTAAGTTGTCCCATGGAAAAAGACTTGCAGGCTGTGGTCAGGGAACCAGGCAGAGCACGGGCAAGGCAGGCAGGCTGCGTGCGCCGTGGAGATCGGTGCAGACCCCACCCCTGCACAACGAAGGCTCAAACCTGACCGGAAGACCCACGAAAGGAAAATCCGCTGCGAGGGACAGTTAAACAGAATCATATGGAACAAAGATGGGAGCAAGTATCACCACCTTGACACAGAAATGACAACATTAACGTCATGCAACTTATGATTACTAAAATCACTGAAAACAAATATATTTTCATAAGAGTAAATTCAAACTGTCACTTATATGTCCAACACAGAAGATAAAACTATAAACAGAAATACTAATGCAAAAGAAAAAAACAAAAGAAATATTTTAAATGTTAGTAATCCTTTTTTTATAACACAATCTTTATACACAGATTATTTAAGCATTATGTTTGAAAATAAAACCCAGCTCTTCCATGCAAGACATGTACTTGTTCAGAATCACATACACTACATAATTCTTTCTCCGCTCCAGACTGTTAGGGATGTCACTAGTCCCAGTGTAATCTTAATAAAACTCTCCTATATTTCCCTAGCCAGGTGTGCTGCACAATGAAAGCTAATTCATGTATGTGAATGCAATATCTTACCTAAATAAGTCCATTTTAAAAGTCAAAACGCAGGAAATATATAATAAATCATATTAATTAACTGGTTTTGCAAAATTAGGATTCTTGTACCCACTGCCTAACCTAAAATGGAATAATTTCAGACACATGTAATATCTTACACAATTTTCCTTCTAAATCTTTATTCTTTCCAAGTTACTGCTAACTTGAAAAATAACAGTCATTTAATTTGTTCATTATATAATTTATATATCTATTTCAAAATTTTATACTTCAAATAGCACATTAAGCAATATGGTTTTATAAAATTTAGTATTTCAAAATTATATCAAGAAAAGCCATAGCTTCAACATTAGAAAACCGACTAAAGAACAAGAATAGTTCATGAAAGAAAACTGTCAAAACAAAAAACAAACAACAAAAACACACCTTTGAAACAAAATAAACATTATCATAAAGGCTGAGTTCCAAAAACTAAAGATGCCTTTTAAACCACACCGAAGACTGTCACTACAGATATTATATTCCATCACACTTCACACAGAACTGACACATCACTTTCCGAAGAACTGATGACACGAGAGCTCTCAGTACCTTGTATCCAGGCCCTAGCTGATGAACGGCAAATATCTGCGCAGGGTTGAGCGCTTCGCTGAACACGTACACGGCCCCCAGCTGGCCACAGAACACCCTGTTGGCGTCGGCGGTCTCCGAGGACCCCAGGAAGCACTTGTCATAGCTCTGTTTTCAAAGTCACAAAAATCAAATGTATTATTTTGCAATGACAATATTTATGCTTACCTTCCCTCACTGTTATAACAATAATAACAGAAGAAAACATTATTAATACTTCTGGAGTATTTAAGTAATAAAAGCCAGCTAAAGATTTTCAGAAAAAAATAAATCAGTTAAATGTTTTATGTTGATGGGCAAGCTAAACAAACAATAGCCATTGACTCAATAATCACTTGACCACTTTCCACAATGTATACTTAAATGCAAAGGGCTCAGAGTTATTTAATTAAAATAGTAAAACTAATTTAAAAACTCTAATGATTCATAATTACCCATATACAGAGATTCATTTGAATCAGGGAATAACTCATTTTTATCATAAATACATAAGGCCTAATTTTTAAAACTCAACCTAATTTCTCCACTATTGATATTTTCCTCTCCTTCTCCACAGAAAGAAAATCACTTCCCTCTCTCACATAAGGAAGCATCATGCAGAATCGAATCAGCAAAGATCACCAAGCCTGGCGCCTACAGCAGATGGAACAGTGCTCTCCACCTGGGGAGCTGAGCACCCAAGAATCAGCTAGAAGACACTTCCCACTCTCCGTCTTAACCCTCCCCCCGCCTCAGCCCACCCGAACAGACCGTGAACGCCGTCACCGTCCCTCCCACCAGCCCCACAGGCTGTCCCACACACGTGAATGAGACACAGAGACAGAAACCACTGGTCAAATACCCAATTCCTAATTAAAAGTGTAAGAACTTAAGAACTGACATCATAATGTATATGTGTATATCTATTAATGTTCAGGCCTCTCCATTTCATGGAGCACTACTGCAAATAATTCAAAAATCAAAGTATATTTTCCCTTTTATTAAAAACGATAACACTGTAAAGTTAATGACAGTCCACAAGATCACTGAAGTTTTTTCTGCTCTAATATAAAGACTGTTCCCTTTGGAAGGCAAAACTTAAGAAGAATTCCTCTGCATATTCTAATTCTGATAAAAATCACCCTCATAAGTGTTTCCTGCCTGTGGCCAAACCATGAGTTTCTAGGGCAGGAAAAGAAAACTTGCCCTATTAAGGAGCAGGGAGTAAATATGTTATGGTTTGGAAGCCACAAGTGGTTTCTGTCACCTGCTTTGATTTTTGTTTGTTTGGGTCATTAAAAACTGTAAAAACCAAGATTCTAGTTCATAGGAAAAGAGGTTAAGGGCCCTGACGAGAGGACAAACGACAGAGTACGACACAGCGCTGCGTGGACACAGCAAGGCAGGACAGGGCCAGTTCCTGCACGCGAGGGGGCTGTCCTGTCTGCCCAGATGCAGATCCTACTGACATACAACTTTGTTAAAAAGAGGTGGTTTTGTAAAACCAGGTTTGCTGGAATTATTCTTTCAGCATTAGAAACACATCTCTTACTTTTGCTCTAACAGGCCAGGATGAAGATGAGAAGGCACAAAATAGAGAAAGAAGAGCTTTTAAGGTTCTAAATCTATATATCCTCTATTAGGAATCCAACTATGTTACTTCCTCCACTGCTAACATACTGGTCACAATTAATATTATCTCTTTGTTACAGTAATAAGCCATTTAACTGATCCCCCTGCTTCTGCCACTATTTTCCTTCCAAATACTCTGAACACTGCAGCCTGACTGATGCTTCTAAAATGCAAGTCAGCATCACCTCACCAGTGTGCTCATCAATGCCCAAAGATTTCTATGCTGGGTCCGATGGGGAGCCCAGGCCTTGGGACTCCGTACGTGTGCACACGAGGCCCTGCATGATGTGACCCTCTACCATCTGCTGTAGCTCACCTCCTAACAGTACTCTTCTCCCCTCTGCTCCAGACAAACCGGTCCTTTGTTGTTCTAGGGAAGTTCCAGTTCTGCCCCAAAGCCTCTGCACTCACTGTTTCCAGTGAATGGGACAGGCCCCCAAACATCTTATCTACATGGCTTGCGCCCTCCACTCTGAAAATCATCTGCACCAACTGGCTTCTCCCTTCCCTAAAGCAACACTTTCTACACCAGTTCCCACTTAATTGTTCTCCACGGCATTAATCACTACTTATCCAATAAACAGTAGTCACTATATGTTATACTTTGTTTAAGGTCTTTGTTTCACATCGAAATATGCTGAAAGACCCATTTGTAATGCCTAGGATTTTGAAAAGACTAGAATACTGCCTTGATGTTTTTTACCTAATACTTAACAAGTCAGCCAAGCAATTTTCCTTATTTTGTATCACAAATCATGTCTTGTAACAATTATATTAAATTTAAGACTTAAAAATTCATTTAATAGAAAAAAATTTTCAAAAAAATCTATTAAAAGTTTCTGACAAACTATTTTATTATTTCATTCATGTTATAAACAGTGTATCATATGTTCAAATACATTAAAACACAAATTTGACGGGAAAAAAAACTTACATCATTTGTGTTCACATGCCAAGCCATATCACCATAGGACACAAGCTGTCCATTGACGTAACATCGGATTTCACTGTTCCTCCATCGATTGTATATGTGGACAATGCTGATCATGTACCACTTAAATGAAGGAAAAAATTACAGATGCCAATAGGTTATGTTAGTTTGTATTGTATAAAAAGCAATGACAACATTCATAACACACCACAAAACACACTTGAAGGAAGTGACAGCTGCCTCTACCATCGCAATCCCTCATCCCACTTCTCAGTAACAGATGAAAGCAGCGATCCCTAAAGAATAAATCTGTGATTGGGACAGAGCCAGGACCCCTTGAATCTTGATGTACTTTCCGTTAAACAAGGATCCAAAAATTGTACAAATACAATTATATTTGTGTTCATTCATTTAATAACATTTACGTTGTGCCAGGTACTGCAAATACCCAGATTTGACAAGACTGACCATAATTCCATCTCTCCTGGAATGTATGGTATAATGAAATATACATACATTTAACAAGTAAAAAAGTATAGAATTACAAGTTGTGGTGATTACTATAAGGAAAAGAGAACAATGTAAAATGAGAAAGAAAAACCTGGGTTCTACTTTGAACTACATGGTTAGGAAAGACCTGTCAAATGAATAACATTTTAACATTTACAGTAAGATTTAGGTGCAATTGAAACACACAATTTAGACTTATTAAATCCAGAAATAATTACATATTCTAAAATTAATACTACTCATTAAGAATAAAGAAATAAATTTACACTGAGTTCTCGTGTTACGGTTACTAGGATCAACAAAAAGCATTTTGCGTTTATATTGATGTGAGATGTTTTAAGTTCTGTAATAATTTGTGGATCCAAACTTTCTCTTTATAGTTAATAGTCTAAAGCAAAGAATACAAAAAAGGTTTCTAAAATATAGAAAAATACAAATGATTTACAGATATTTGAGCAAGTACACCTTCAGTGGGTGAGGGGTAATTAGAATAGCTTTCCAAAAAAAGAAAATACAGACCTTGTTCTCAGATTACTTATAAAGTCATTATTCAGTTATTTCATATATATTTGAAAAGCATATATAGTTGTAATAAGATTGTGAGCATATAAAGAAAGACAACACCCCAGATTGTGAGCACATAAAGAAGGACAAACACCCCAGATTGTGAGCACATAAAGAAAGATAACATAAAGACCCTCAAGGTTTCACTAGAGAAAACAAACACACACATGAAAACAAGTCTGAAACAATGGAGCACACCTCAAATACAGAGAGATGTAGAAGCAAAACAAGTAACAATTGAGAGTAAAAGGGAAAGAAAAGATAAATGGAGAAGCAAGGCTTACAGAAGAATTAACTAAAAGAGAAAATAAAATTTAAAACTAAGCTTGAAGGATGAATTCAAACCGTTACGTAAACAGGGATCAAAGAACCATTCCACGCAGAGGTGCTTTCATATGGCGCATATAGTACAGACACCTGACAGAAGTTTTCCCAGCGTTTAGGTTTTACAGGGAAAGCAAAGACCAGGGATGGTAAAGAGACTGCTGGACAACTTCAGTAGTCAGGCTTGTTTTCTGCATCACGTGCTACCGCAGGAAAGTGAGGTGACCGTCTCTGTAACCTAGGGAAAGAGCTGGCAGAACTGAAGAAGCGGGACAGTCAGGCACATATGGGCCAACTTGAGAACGATTGGGAAGGCTCATGTAGGCCCACTGAAAGAAGCTAAAGTTAGATGAAGGTGCATCCATGCTTTTGCTAAGGGACGGTTTCCTTCTCTCTTTTTTTAAAGCCAAGTAGTATTCCATTGTGTAAATGTACCATATCTTGTTTATTTTATATTTTTTGGCTAAAGAGAATGAAGTAAATTTGGAGACTACATACGCATACTCAGGTCTGCATTTAGTTTGAGACCTAAAAATAGATCTATAAAAGGATACCAACTGAAACAACAACAAAAGATCTGTATTAAAAATTGCTAAGAGCCCTGGCCAGTTTGGCTCAGCGGTTAGAGCGTCGGCCTGCGGTCCCGAGAGACCCAGGTTCGGTTCCCGCTAAGGGCACGTACTTCAGTTGCAGTTTGTCCCCGGCCCTGGTTGGTCGTGCGGGTGGCAGCCACTCAATGTGTCCCTTCACGTCGATGTTTCTCTCTCTCTCTCTCCTTCCTCTCTCTCCCTCCCACTCTATCTGTACAAAAAATGGAAAAGTATCCTCGGGTGAGGAAAAAAATAAAAAAATAAAAATAAAAATTCCTAAGAAAGTCCAGCCAGTGTGGCTCAGTGGTTGAGTGTCCACCCATGCACCAGGAGGTCATCAGTTCGATTCCCGGTCAGGGCACGTGCCCAGTTTGTGGGCCCAACACCAAATGGGAGACATGCAGGAGGCGGCCAATCAATGTTCTCTCTCATCAATGTTTCTGTCTCTTCCTCTCTCTCTAAAATCAATAAAGAAAAAATGTTTTAAAAAATTTTTCCTAAGAAAAATATAACATATTTACACAAATATAAAGAGTAGCTAGTGTGTATAGAACACTTACTACATATTGGGTAATATGCTAACGGTTTACATCCATCTTCACAATGCCTAACATCTGGTAAGTGGTACAGCTAGGAAAGTAGTAAGAGTTGTAATATAAAGGTTTCATTTTGAAAGGCCAGGTAAGCCCCTTATCAGAAAGGATAACAAGTAAGCTAGGGCATTTTCTAGAAAACTAAAGAAAGGGGAATAAAAAAGGAATAAATGTATCTTGAATAATGGAAGAGTATAATCGAATACTTGCAATGTTCAAGGTTTATGAGAATCTTTAAAGGATGCTTTCTATAACCAACATCATCCTGGCTCTGCCCCTACCAAGACTCCCCAGAATACACAGAGCTTTTACAGATGAAAATGTATCTCTTTTTTTATTTATTTTTTTCTTTTATTGATGTTAGAGCGAGAGGAAGGGAGAGGGAGACAGAGACACTGATGAGAGAGACCATCCTGCATGCCCCTCACTGGGGATCAGGCCCACAACCTGGGCTTGTGCCCTGACCAGGAATCGAACCAGTGACCTCCTGGTGCAGGGATGACGCTCAACCACTGAGCCACACCAGCCAGGCAGGAATGTATTTCTTATAAAGAAATGTGTAAAGACAAGAGATAGACAGAAAAAAATGGGTTAAATTGCTTTGAGTTAATGATAATTTTATTTCATTCCTAACTTCACTCTATTTTTTTAGTTTATACTCTTTAAATCATTTTTTGTAAATATGTCTGATAAGAAAAGTAACAGATCATTTGTTTAAAACATATTCCTAACATGAAAATTGTAATTCCAAAAATCTGTATTTCAAACAAGTTCCCACTAAAATTCAAAATAATTTGGCACACATTTTGACTGGGTCTCATCCCAAATCTAATAAGTCAGAACTTCCAGAGGAAAGGTGATGAGATTTTCATAAAAATGACTTGGATTTGTATTAAGAAAAAAATAACCCCATTGTAACATATACATTTATCTAGAATCATTGCTTTATAAGCTATTTTTCATGTGTACACAAATGAATGACTATTACACTAATATCTTTAATAGAAACAATTATTACCATCACTTAAACATAAAGCAAACACTCTTAAAAATACATATATTTGAAAACCCCATCGAAAATGTTTTCTTCCGTATGTGGCGAACAGACGTGGGACCATAAACAAGCAAGGAAACAAACCAAAGGGAAAGAAAACGAAGAGGAGACGAGACACTCCTCCAGCCTGTGCGGCTCACGGTGTGTCTCGTGCTGTTCTTATGGATAGTGTCCTGTGGATACGAGGCAGAGGATGCCCTGAAGAAGGTGGACAATCTCACTGTCATGTATCCAAGAAAGACCCTTGAACCCGAAGACGGACCAGACCTTAAACTGGCAGAAACATTTCTCTTAACAACCCAAGCTGATGATGAGTAAATTATATCTTATAAGTCTAATTATATAGTTAGTTGCACATTTCTCTGCATTTTCTCATTATTCCTTTTTTTTTTTTAATCCTCACCTGAGGACACTTTTTGCATTCATAGAGCGAGAGAGAGGAAGAGAGAGAGAGAGAAATATCGATGTGAGAGAGACACATCAAGTGATCGCCACCCACACAACCCCAACCAGGGCCAGGGACAAACTGCAACCAAAGTACATGCTCTTAGCGGGAACCGAACCCGGGTATCCCCAGACCGCGAGCCGACGCTCCGATCGCTGAGCCAAACCGGCCAGGGTTCATTATTCTTTAGCTTTAGACCAAACTTTTAAAAATATGTTTCTACCTGATCTCTGAATAACCACATTCTAGTGGATATTAAGCAAAGATATGTTCCATGGCCAAAATATTACCAGTAATGCAACGTCCGCCTCCTTGAAGCCCTCATTATTAACGAAGCTGAAGTCCCTGAAACCTTCAATCTCAGGAAACAAGATTCAAGACTACTAAGACTAGCTGAATCTCTCTCAAGAAAAATCTTTCCATATGACCAAATCTGCAAGTTTAACTTTGTCTTATAAAAAAAACTAATTATCTATAACTCCATAGTGTACAGTATACACACACATATACAACCAAGCTCCTCTGAAGTCCAATTGCTGGTCTAAAACTGATTCTACTACCTAAACCAAGTAAGATCAGGGGAAGGGGGGCAAGCAAAGGGGTAGAAGAGGAAGGGGAAGGGAAGAAGGCGATGAGAAGAACGAGCGAAGAGCTAGAAGGAGGACAGAGGACGGAGAAGAGCATGATGGAGAAGGAGGAGGAGGAAGGAGGAGAAAAAGACACAATTGTAATTGTAGTAACATTTCTGCAAATGCTCTTCATCAAACATAATTCCTCAGAACTACAATTAAAGTGACAAAGTTCATACAAAAGTTAGGTGAGGGTGAAGGCTCGCGACAGAAAGACTGACTCACGGACACAGCAGTGCGGTGACTGCAGGGGAGGTGGTGGTAGAGGAAGGGCACCCTAATAAATTCAATGATAAGAAACAAACATTTTCTTCAGAATAATCTTTGACTTAATCATTCTTATTATACTTTAGTACTGATTTCATAGATGTGCAGAAAATTACAGCTACTGAATAATTTCTATATAATGTAAAGCTAATTTACATATTATAGATAAATTATATATAGTACACATCAAAATTTTAGGATCCAAATGAAGACAAAATGATTTATCAGCAGTTGGCATTCTAAGTTATTGTGTTTTCCATTAAACCTGTGCAAAACATTTTCTCAAAAATCATAATATGTCTCTTAATGCTCGTGGATAATGCTCTATAGAATTCTCTACAATTGCAAAAATTACCTTAACCTAGGTTTTCAGTATGTAATATTGTGCTGAAATAACGGCAAAAAAAAAAAAAGCTATTAAGCGTTAGATTTTAAATGCGTGGCACACAGCAAGGCCCGACACTCGCTGCCCAGGACTGCCTGCCCCTCCCGCTGGCCGGGAAGACGCCGGGCACCTCCCCAGAGCACTGACCGCGACGAGGCCTCGCCTTCTTCCCCACGTCCTCAGAAATCATGCTGCGTTGTTTCATACACTGGGAAACAAATCGTTCTATATGAACTAGCTGTCCGGATAAATGTAACTTACTCCTTTACGAAAACAGATTTGGGGTGGTTTAAGTTACATTTTATTCAATTATATAGTATATATATTTTTGACAGTCTACCAAGTTAAATACTCTGTGGAAGACATATGAAGGAACACAAAAATAAATCCAACACATACCTTAGTCTCAATAGTTGCTAAATAATACACATATAAATGAATAACTATGGTTTAAAAGAAATAATTGCCATAAAAAAATAAATAAATAAATAAAACACTGAAATGATGAGTCAGAAAAAGATTAGATCTGGGGATCAAAGAAAATTGGGAAAAGTTTCCATGAAAATAGTATTTCATAAAATGAAACACTGAAGACCTAGAGTTGTGAGTGATGAAACAAGTAAATGTATTTCATGCCAGAGACTGAATATTTAAAAGGGAAAAGAAAAAAGTGAAACATGTATGTTAGTTCAGCTTTGCCAGAATAGAGGGTTCAAGTAAAAAGCTGAAAATAAATCCAAATCATGAAGGACTAAGCTAAAAATTTTACTCTGTAGTTAGTGAAAAGCAAATGATTAGGGTGAGCAGTGAAATAACATGATCAGGAATATAAATCAGATTATTAGTGTATAAAATAGTTCAGAAGGGGAAAAGACAAATAATCCAAGATAAGGGGAGAGCAGTATGAAGAATTTAAGGAGCAGGAAGAATTTAAAAAATAAGGTATATTACAGAGATACAAAGTATAGGGCATAAAAATGAACTAACATAAAGATCAAAAAGGGGAAACTGACTTATGTCTCCACTATTACGACGACTGTAGGCCTCAAAATGAGACCTAAGAACATGAATGAACATGGGAATGGAAATAGTAAATTCAATGTTACATATTCTGAAGTTGCAAAATCAGAAAGATATCCACATGACAATATCTCATCAGCAGATGAGAATATAAGAATTGAGTTCTGGAGATAAGAATAAAGTGGAAAGCTATCATGAAACTGAGTAAAAATTCCCCCAAATATTTAAGCTCCACAAAAGCAGGAATATTGTCTGCTTTGACCACTGTCATATCCCCAGAACCTACATCAGTATCCAGAACTCAATAAACACTCACTAGAATAGTCCCCCTTATGTGAGAGGGTTATGTTCCCAGACACCCCGTGCATGCCTGGAACCTCTGGTAGTATGGAACCCTGTATATACCACGTTTTCTCCCGTCTGTGCTGACTCCTATATATATACCAAAGTTTCATTTCTAAATTAGACGCAGTAAGAGATTAACAACATAACTAATACTGAAAGACAGCAATTACAACAATATACTCTGATAAAAGTTATATGAATGTGGTCTTTACCTAACAGCCAGTCAGATAACCAAGAAGTCTAGTAAGTGACTCAAGGGGAACAGCTTACACAGCACGGACCGTGGACAAAGAGCTGAGTCACCTCCCAGGTCGGGCAGAGCAGGAAGGCACACGAGCTGATCACACTATTCAGACTGGTGCCCAATTTGAAATTCATAAATTGTTAATTTCTGGAATTTTCCGTTTAAGATTTTAAGACCAGTTGGCTGCAGGTAGCTGGAACTATGGAAAGCAAAACTATGAATAAGAGGGGACTACTCTAAGTATTATCTGAAGAATGCAAGAGAATAGAGCACCACAGTGAGAGACAGACAGACAGAGGGCGACTGCAACAGATCATCTCATGTCAAACGTTAGACAGAGAAGTAGAGAGAGGAGGCAGCAAGGGCTGGAGGGAGACCTAGGAGCCGTGAGAAAACCACTGAGAGAGGATATTGCAGAGTCATGGCGGTGAGCTCTAAGACAGCAGGAGTGTGAACCGTGTCATCCTCAGTAGAAAGGTTTACTTACACCTACCTTGCGCGGTTGAAAATCGTATTTCACACAGTGCTGGAAACCTTTGCCTTTGGACTTCAGGGATGTGACTATTAGACAGTTCCCAACAAAATGAGCAGAGTAGCCAACTCCTTTGCTAGTACGAAAACTATAAAAACACAAAGAATAGTACAATATCCTCTGATACAAAGAACTATATTTCTAGAGATTATTATATAAATAACATAAAAGAGTAACATAAAAAAATTATGTGCCAAATAAAGACTAAAACATAAAAGGCTTAGAAAACTAAAAGAAAGAATTAAACTTGAAAAATAGAGACAAAAGAACCACTTAAAATTTCCATTTAAAATATCACAAATACATAAACACAAATTAACAGCCCACAAAAGCTTATCAAGTTGACTGTATCTACCTTTAAGGACTATCTAGAATTAGCAAATAAAAAAATCATTTACACAGTGAATATTTTCAAAAACAACTTGTTCCATAATTCTTAGTCTTTGAAAACAACTTACACAATTTTTTTTTTAAGTAAGAGACAACTTTGAAAAATAATGTAGGTAATCAAGAACGGAGTACATTTTTATTTTTATTTTTGTAAATATATCATCTTTTTACAGGGTAAACTTTTTTCACTTTTTTTTTATTGTGGACATTACTACAGATGTACCCCAATTACCCCCCTTTGCCCTCCTCCACCCAGCCCTGCCCCTCCCTTCTGGCTATGTGACTATAAAATACAGTTATTTTCTTCTAAAGGAGTAATTCTTCCTAGCTTCAATTAAACCCCAATATTAAAAAAAATTTTATATATGTTTTGAAAAAGGACAGTATTGTTGGAATAAGTGTATGCTCTTCTAAAATGACCATCCTGAAAATCACCCCCATTTATGTCTGTAAATTCAGATAATTCATTTAAAATTTTGTAACAGAACTTATAAGCTATTACTAGGTCACATTTTCACACATTTCAGAGCCAGTCATTGTGGAAAAAGCACTTTAAATACTACTCTTTCATTAAAAGCTAAGTGATAGGTACTACTAACATCATTTTACAGTTTAAGACACCAAAGCCCAGGGTAATTTAAGTGGTGAAGACAGGACTGAAACTCAGGTAGTCTTATTTCAGAGCACTGCAAGTATTAAATGAGTTAATCCTTGTAATGCCTATTATACAGTAAGGCAAAGCAATGACAGTTTGATAGTATTGCTGTGCATTACTGGTAAACCGAAAATTACCAGCTCTCAGTCTTGACTGGTCAATCCATCATTGGGGTAAGCAACCCATTCTGTTATCTACCAAATAATCTTATCGAATTATAATTTCTTAGATGGTTATTATTATTAATATTTCAAAGAATATCACAAAACAAAGTAAGTAAAAGGGCAAAGTGAATGAAATCAGGACGAAGGGTTTTTTGTGTTTTTTTCCTCTCTCCTTGATCAGGAACCATCTTCACTAACAGCCCCACAATTGATCTATATTGACAGACAGTACAGATAAGGTCTGCAACCTTTGACTCTTAAATTGTAGTTGAATAAAAACAGGGAGGCAACAGAAAAAAAATAAATATATATAAATGACTTAACCATTTCTTTATAATTTTAACATATTTTTAACATACATATTAATGTTACATTTAATATAATGTTGCTTTGATACTATGCTAAATATTTACAAAATTGAAACACTTAAGACATAGTACTAAAATTAAATATATTACTTACCAATAAAGATAAGGTTTGTCCTTATCAACATTAATGTTGTTTAATGGATCCATACGAAACCAAGTGTTTAGGGTGAAGCCATTCTGATAAGGCCACTTTGCAATAGGAGGCAATGCAATTGCCTACAAGGCAGTGAAATAAGACACAAAAGTATCAGTTAAAGAGAATGTGACAGTTAAGTAACCAAGGTCAGATATGGGCTCTACAGATTAAAAAATAGCAAAGGTATAAATATTAGAAAATCATGGCAAATATAAAAATAGAAACTATCTTGTAAAAATAATCTATAAATATTATTTGTTGACTACAGAAGCACTACATTTTCAAATACTAGCTGAATAAAGTAGCATCTCCAGGTTACATAATAGGTTTCAGACTCCAAGAGGTCCTCCTCCAGTTTCACCAATATAAAGCCCCTTATACATATGCCTCAGAATTTTCAATTTTCCATGGTTTCTGTTAGGTTTTCAGTAATATTTCATTTGATTAAAGGAGGATGAATCTCTAAATCCAAAAACAACTGTGTGAGAGAATGCTGATGGGTCAATACTGGAGAAATTCAGCGTTCACAGACAATGCTCGTAGCAGTGAGCAGAGACAGAGGAGGGGAAGCACCAGACTATCATTAACAAATTAACCAATAGAATTTATGACCGAAAAGGATTCAGATATACTCTTTAAGTGGAAAAGGAATCATATAGTATCCAGTTGATAATAGCAATAAAAAATTTTTTTTAAAAATCTAGCCATTCAAGGGAAAAACTGAGAAAGTGGCTGATTACTTGACTTGATGTAAATAAACATCTGAGTGGATTTATTTATCTTCCTATGAGATGTCCAAATTTCTACCACATAAAAGATAATTATCCATTATGATTTTACGACTGATCTGTTCCCCAAACAGATCCTTCATATTGCTGAGTGCATAATTTCTCAAAAATAAGATAATTCTGATATTAAAAATTCTCTGCATATAATATAAAGCTTAAATTTCTTCAGGTTACACAAGACTCTTCACATACCCTGTGGAGCCCGGCTGGTGTGGCTCAGTGGTTGAGCACCGACCCTGCACCAAGAGGTCTCCGGCTCGATTCCCGGGCAGGGCACATGCCCAGGCTGTGGGCCAGATCCCCAGTGGGGGCATGCAGGAGGCGGCCAATGGATGTTCTCTCTCATCCATGTTTCTCTTTCGCGCTCTCTCTCTCCCCTTTCCTCTCTCTCTAAAAAAAAAAAAAAAAAAAAATCAATAAAAATAAAAGTCAAACTCCCTATGGCTCAACAAACTCTTTCAAACCTATCACTTCTACTATCCTACCCCACACTCCCAAGTATACCTAAATATGAAGCTGCCCCACCTATTCTGTTAAAACTCCTCTTTTTATATATGATATTGCTTCTGTCCAGGGACTTCTTCCAGCAAAATCGCAAGCATCCCTCACCAGGATCTTCTGCGAAGCCTTCCTGGACTTCACCTGGCTCAGTTTCTCTTGTCACTGTTTCCCATAGCACGCAGTACCTAAGTCTACAGCGGTTACTGTAACAAGCTGTTTCTGCATCTGTCTACCCATTACAGTTCCTCAAGTCAGGAATATAATTTAGACTCCCAGCATGTGACACAGACAGAAAACAATCATTATGTAGTCAAGGAAAAAAAATCAAGGTGGCAAGGATTTATAATGTTTGCTTTAAAAATAAAAATAAGCCCTGGCCTGTTTGGCTCAGCGGTTAGAGCGTTGGCCTGCGGTCTGGAGAGACCCGGGTTCGGTTCCCGCTAAGGGCACGTACCTCGGTTGCAGTTTGTCCCCAGCCCTGGTTGGTCGTGCGGGTGGCAGCCACTCTATGTGTCCCTTTCGCGTCGATGTTTTTCTCTCCCCCCACCCCCCATCTGTACAAAAATTGGAAAAATGTCCTCGGGTGAGGATAAAAAAAATAAAAAATAAAAATAAAATAAAAATAAAACAGAAACACACACACTAACACATACATAGATATACACACAACTGCAAATAAAGAATGAAACCCTGATATAGAAATGAAAAATTTCCATACAATGTCCTTTCTGATTTTACTGTTGAAGTAATTAATTCAGAAAATTTAATCATTAGTATAGTTTTTATTGACTTTTTAAAAAGGAAAATATTTTATTAATTTTTTGCTTGTAAAATGCAATTCTTGCCCAGTTTGCCACTAGTTAACCCTCCATAGGTTCACTAAACCACTCCTCACTTCCTCCAGCTGCTCGGGAGCGCCAAGGGGTTAGAACAGGAGACACGCTGACACAGGACAGTGGGAGTGGAGTCTATGGAATCCTACACAGTTCTTCGCAAACGCGTTCCTTTCTTCTGCACACCGTGGAGCACAGCTGGCCCGGGGCTGCCCGGGGTGCCCGGGCCCATGTGCGAGCCCAGGCACCTTCCCGTCACAGGGGCTTGCTGCAGCACTGTCGCAGGCACACTGAAAGACTCAGAAGTGCTGCTCCTCCCTTCCCTTTCTCGTTACTACAAACACCCAGGCAAACTCTGCTCCCCAGTCGAGGCCTGAGCACCTTTTATGTCATCAGTCTCCTCGTCCAGTCCACTGGGCCCGACATCAGAACTCAAACACTGTATTAAACTAGGAGGTACAGGAAAGCATTTGAGATGAGCTGCCTCCAAGTTTCCCAGACCTATTCTTCCTTCAACCAAGGGAAAGACAGGTGGGCCAAAGATCACTTATCATCCTCACGGTAGGACTGAACGAGCCCTAAGTTACATACAGTTGAAAACAGTGAGCCAAATAAAGGGGGAAAAAGAAAAATCTAAGCTAGAAAGATAATGAAACAAGTCTTGCTACAACTGGTACCAAACACCTGAGAGTCTCTTGAATAGCATCTTTATCAGTTTCACTGTGGACTTCCAATAATTCCATGGATAAAGATCTTTATTTTGACCAGTATCTTGAACAAAATTATAAGACAGTCTCTTAAATTAGATGCCAGAATAAATGCTTTAGGGACCTGAAATCTCCCTTTTCTAGAGGGTATTCATCAACTTCCTGTCCCTGGTTAGGTACCAATCAGAGCCTCTGTGCAGGGTATACTGCATCCCTGGCCTTTCCCAACGCTTTCCAACTAAGACATCCATCTCCCCTTACCCAGTGCGCAAAGCTCCTCCGACGATGCTGCTGAGCAGCAGCACCCGGGCCTCATTACGTACCTAATCTTTTCACCAGTTTCCGCAATTCCTTGTATCTCCTTTGACACATGGTGTTAACAGAGTGCCCTTGTGAACGACCGTCGTGATTCTGGACTTAAGCTGCCTTCACATCTCCTCCATATTTCTTTCTGCACTATGTTGGTGTCCACAACTGGGTGTCTGTCATTGTGCCCAGTGAGTCCTCAGGGCCCCAAACCTATATCCCTCACTGTTTCCTGATCTAGCTCACTCCACAATCTATATTCTTATCTATAGTAATTGGCAAAATAAATCATTTTCATGTTCAGATGGGGTGCTTTCATAAATTGTTTAATAAGAGAATAGAAAAGTACATTACTTCTTAAAGTAAGCAGATTATGCAATGGATCATAATTGTAAACAGCAAATCTAAATATTATACCCATACTGGTCACAGAGTATACACTCATTCACCTTTAAAAGCAGTGTAGAATGCAGTTAACTCTACGAATGAGCACATGTTACCAAATGGCTCGTGCGGAGGCAGCACCGCTCATGGGCTCCTCCACGACACAGAACACACTTCGGAAGGCCTGGCATACTCGATCGTTTGGGGGAGTGAGCAGTGTCACCCTTCAGTTACCCAAAGGCACTGCTAGCAGCAGTGGTTCAAACAGTATGGACCCTCCTGTTACCACAGTGACACTGATTCATGCTCATTGAGAAGCAGATTATCTGAAACACTAATGGCAAGGATTTCAAAATCAGCTCCTATCTGAATTTGTCAGCCGTTCAATAGCAGAAGTAATATGCCTGTAAATAAGCCAGTCTGTTAAATAAAACACTGGACTTACAGTTAAATTTTGGTTCAGATTGTGACTATACTTTATAATCCTAAACAATGTTACATTATGGTGGCTCAGTGCCCTCAACTGGTGTAGCAATCATATCATTTATAGAGCCTGTATGACTCAAATGAAGTAATAGCTGTAAGAGTTCTAGTTCCTTTCTGACTTCCCCCTCTGCAAAGAATGTATTCTTGGTCTAAACAAACCTTCATGAAGATGAGTAATGCAGAGAAAAGCAGGTTGGGGATGTGGGGGAAGTAGTGTGAATCCCTCACATCCGTGAACGAAACAAGTCAAGCATACACTGCTAACAAGATACAAATAAACTCGTTTCTGTGTGTGTGTGAAATGCACTACATACTGATGAAAATATTCACAGGTTTCAGACATCTGGTGGTCAAGTGACTAAAAGCAGAATGAGTTGCAGCCTAACTCAGGCAATTCGGGCAATTTATCAAACCCGTTACTCACTGTCGTTTAGCCCACTTTCTTATTTGTGTTAACTACGTAAATAAGACAGCAATTTGCTTATATTTCTCTCGAAACACTCTGATCTTCTTTCCCACCACTGAAACTGCGATCTACCAGATATCAGACCAATAGTAGTTTTAAAAATTTTTAAATGTATATATTTTAAATACACATATTTATATTTATGTAATTATTTTATTTATATGTAAATAAACTATTACATCTAAGAGAACCCCTTCACCCTTAGAGACAACGCCTGTTTTCTCTGCTAAGTAGAATACATATACATTTTATGTGTTCTACCCTAACAATATATATAAAATGATTAGCTTCCAAACGGTATTTATTTTTTTATTATTATTATTTGTTTAAATCCTCACCCCAAGGATATTTTTCCATCAATTTTCAGATAGAGTGGGAGGGAGGGAGGAAGGGAGAAAGAAAGAGAGAGAAACACTGATTTGAGAGAGACACATCGATTAGCTGCCTCCTGCATGACCCCAACCAGGGCCAGGGACGAACCAAAACCAAGGTACATGCCCTTGACCGAAATCAAACCTGTGACTCTTTGGTCCAAGGGCCGATGCCCTAACCACTGAGCAAAACTGGCCACGGCGGAAATTTATTTTTAACTTTCCTATTTTTATTTTGCAACTGGTGGAAAGTATAACTCTAAAAAAAGGTTAATAACAAATATTAAGGCAAAAATATAAAATTAGAGGAATGGTTAATCGAATGGGAGATTGCAAGTACACTTAAATACTAATAATCAAAGAGTGCATAAATAGTATATTATTTCATTACAGGTTCATAATAACACTATTCCATAATAAAGTGCTAATAATTTATCTGACAGTCATGAAACATTAAGGGACCAGCTCTCCACAGTAATGCCAGAGAATCCAGAAATCAAAACCAGTTCTTCTAGACAAAAATCATACATAGTCCCTATAATACTACCATCTAGATAAAAATGATTAAATCAAACAGACTGAGAGAGCTAGTTCTTTGAAAAGAAAAACGAAATGGATAAACTTACAGCTAGACTGATCAGGAAAAAAAATACAGTATCAGGAATAAAAGAGACATCACTATACATATCCCACAGACATTAAAAGGATAGTAATGGGATATGAAGAACAAATTTATGCCAATATACTCAACAACTTATATTAACTGGACAATTACTAGAAAAACACAAAATACCAAAACTCACTTAAAACAAAATAGAAAACCTCCCTGGATGTATTACAGAAATAAAGTTCATGGTTTAAAACCTTCCCACAAGCAAAACTCTGAGCCCAAATGGCACGGATAGTGTATTCTAGCACACATTCCAGAGTAAGTAACATGTAATAACAAGTGAAGGCGAGGCTGTGGAGAAAAGGGAGCCCTCACTCACTGCTGGGGGGTGTAAACTAGAACAGCCACAAGGGAAAACTATATGATGGTTCCTCAAAAAATTAAGACTAGAGTTACCATATGACCAGCAATCCCTCTTTGGTGTATCTACCTGTAACATTTGAAAACCTTTAATTTTAAAGACATATGTTCTCCTATGTTTACTGCAGCAGTATTCATGGTAGCCAAGACATGGGAACAACCAAAGTGTCCTTTAATAGATGCCTGGACAAAGATGTGCTACATATATACAATGGAATACTACTCAGTCATCAGAAAAGAAGAAATACTGTCATTTGTGACAACATGGATACACTGAGAATATGCTAAATGAAATATATCATATGGGAACGTCAAGAATCACATAATTTCACTTACATGTGGGATATAAAACAGAAAGCAACAAATGAATAAACAAACCAAGAAAAAGCCATAGACACAGACAACTGGTTACTGGGGAGGGGGCAAAGGGTGTAATGCACACGGTGACGGGGTCTGACATGGGGTGCTGCACACACAGTAGAAACACAGATGATATATTACAGAGCTGTACACATGAAACCTGCAAGTTTTTTAACCAATGTCCACAGTAAATTTCATTAAAAACTTTAAAAATAAAAATGTAAAAAAATCATAAACTCTGCTTCATGTAAAAAACAAACAAAAAAACAGGAAATAATATCAATTCTACACAAACTCTTCAACAGAGCGAAATAAATACTTCCTAACTCAATCAATCTATAAGAAATTGCCCTAACACCAAAACCAGATAGAGATATTACAGAATAAAAAAAAAAAAAAATCATTCCAAATCACTCTCTAGAAATAATTGAAGCGCTAGCCTATTTGGTTCAGTGGTTTATAGAGTGTCGGCCTTCAGACTGAAGAGTCTCGGGTTCGATTTCCAGTCAAAGGCACATACCTCAGTTGCAGTTTCGATCTCCAGCCTCCCCCCCCCCCCCGTCAGGATTGTCCGGGAGGCAACCATGCCCCCCCCCAGCCTCCTCCCCTCTTCCCTCCTACTCTATCTATAAATCAATGGAAAAATATCCTTGGGTGAGGACCAAAACAAAGAGAAAAAGAAAGAATTGCAAATTTCTTAGCAACACGTTAGCAAATGAAATCCAGTATTATATAAAAAGGTTAATACACAGTGATCAGTAGTTTTTAATCAAAAGAATGCAAATGTTGGTTTAATACTGATATAGCAATCATTATAATTTACCACGATTTCAATAAAGTCAGAAAAAGGATCTTACAAAATTCAACACTGATATTAATATATTTATGTTTTTAAAAAGGGCAGGAAATAGGAACAGAAAGCAATTTCCTGCACCCGACAAAGGAGATGACAAAATCTACAACTAAGAGCATACTAATGATGAAATAATGAACACTTTCCCAAGACTGAGAATAAGGCAAGAATGTTATTGATTCAACATTACACTCGAGGTCCTAGCCAGTGCAGTAAGGCAATAAAATGAACTAAAAAGGCATACGGATTATAAATTAAGTAGTAAGACTGGTTTTCTTCACAGACAAAATCATGTTCTTTATAAACAATCCTAAAGCATTTACTGAAGAAAAAACAAAACAAAACAAACAAACTGCTAGGACTAGTTAAGTGAGTTTACTACCAAGATCGCAGATAACGTCAAAATACAAAAAAAAATATTACAACAGTTCCATTTACTAGCCAAAACCCACATAGAATATTAATGTATAAATTTAACAAAAGACTTTTAAGACTTCTATGCGGAAAACTACAAAGCACTGGAAAATCAAAGAAAACTAAATAAAGAGAGAGGTATACTGTGTTTATAAGCTGGAAGACGCAACAGTGTGATGAGATCTATTATCTCCAAATTGTTCTAATAGGTTCAACACAACACAATCAAAATCACAGCAGGCTATTCTATAAAATTTGACAAGGTATTCCCAATGTATATGAAAATGCAAACAATCTAGAATAGCCAAAATTATTTTTCTAATGGAGAACAAATATGAAGCACTTACACTACCTGATTTCAAGAACTGCTATCCAGCTACAATAATAAAGATAATGTAATTTTGGCATAAGGAAATCTATATAGGACAAAGAAACAAAATAGAGAGTACAGATAGTTTTGGGCAAAAGTGCCATGGTAATCAAATGTAAAAAGAACTGTTACTTCAACACATGGTTAGGAAATACTTCGATATCATATATAATACAAATAAAACTTCACCTCTAACCTTCCCTCACACAATATTGTTAAAATTAACCCAAAAGGGATCATAGGACTAAATGTAAGCACTAAAGCAACATAACTCTTAGTAGAAAGAATAAGAAAAAAAATGCTGTGACTATGGTTTCTTAGATTACAAAAGCATATGCCATAAAAGAAAGATTTTAATAGAACATCAAATTTAAAATATTTTGTACTTCTGGAAATACTGTTAAGAAATTAAAAAGACAAGCCACAGATTGAAACTATTTGACAAGTATATATATCTGACATATTGACTTATACCCCAAATACACAATTTTTTTTTTAATCCTCACCCAATAATATATTTCCATTTATCTTCAGATAGAGTGGGAGGGAGGGAAGGAGGGAGGGAGAGGGAGAGAGAAACATCGATATGAGAGAGACACACTGATTGGTTGCCTCCTGCATGGCCCCGACCAGGGCTGGGGACTAAACCACAACCAAGGTGTGTGCCCTTGATTGGAATAGAACCCAAGACTCTCTGGTCCACGGGGCAGTGCTCCAACCACTGAGCAAAGCCAGCCAGGACAACAACTAATTTTTAATAATAAACAGGAAATTTGAACACAAGCAGAACAAAAGAAGATATAAGACTGGGCAATAAACACCTGAAAAAAAAAGCTCAACATCCTTAGTCATGAGGGTGAGATACAATAAAAATTTCAGTGAAGCACCAGTACATTTTCATGGAAGTGATTCAAATGGAAAAGACAGACAATGACCAGGTTGCTTATCTACCAGGATTCTCATACACTGCTTGATGGAAATACAAAATTTTACAGTATAAAAAGCTATTTGCCTGTTTCTCATGAAATGAAACACACACTAAAAAAACATCCATCTTGCTCTTATGCATTTATTCAAGAGACAGGCCAGCATGCCCACAGACCTATGTTCAGATGTTCATTGTAGTTTTATTTACAATAGCCCAAGGCTGAAATCCCCAATGCTCGTCCACTAGTCAATGTATAAATAAGCTGTGATATATCCATAAAATGTAATACTCCTCAGAACAAAAAGGAGGTGTAAACTACAGCATGAATAATCTCAAAAGCATATGGTACAGAAAGAAGCCTGACAAAAAGACAATATAATCTGTGATTTTAGTTATATGAAATTCTAGAAAAGGCAAAGTTAAACAACCACAAAATCAATCAGAGTTGGCAAGGGATAGCGGCTGGGGCGAGAGTGTTGGCTTCAAACACAAACGAGGGAATTTGGGGGAGTGCTGGAATTGTCCTAAATCATGACTGTGGTGGTGGTCACCACACCATTCAAAACTTAACAAACTGTACTTTTTTAATTAGTGAATTTTACTATATGTAAATTATACCTTAATAGAGCTGACTTAAAAATATGCAAATAAAAATAAACATGCATTTTAAACTTACCGCAGCACTACAACCGGGGAAATTGAAAAAAGTATCAGGACCATGTCTTTGTGGCATCTGATTAAGAACTGATAATAATTTTACTGCATGTCTTGGCTGAGGAAACAAGAAAAATAAATGACACTGTACAAATCACATTAGCCACTGAACTATTTTTCTAACTACAGAGAAAATTCATTTTAAATAATTTATGTAACTCTTTAAGAGGAAGCATTTCCATTACAAATTCAAGTGCATAGCTCTCCGGAGACAAGTCATCGAACATTAAGTAATAACACACTGACAGTGGTACCCACTCTGACTGCAGCTTACCCAGATTCCACTTTCTCCTCGAAGCATGCTGAACAAAAGCTTCAACTCCTTGACAGTGATGCTGTAGCTGGCAAGAACCCCCAACATATCAACTAGAAGATCTTCAAAGGAAAATAAAGTTATTCTGAACTCTAGTCATGAGCTGCCATCTGTCGAGATAACACACTTTTTAAAAGAACAGAAGTTATCAAGAGTCATTTCAACACACATACATATATGTGTGTACGTGTGTGTGTATGAGTGTGTGTGTGTGTATATATATATAATATATTGCTAAACATCCTCATAGTCAGTCATCAGAAAACCAAAAAATTATATGTAAATATAAAAATTTTTCCAATTCAGGTATACCATTCCAATTAAATTTTCTTTTTCAAGTTACCAAAATACACACACACACACACAAAATTCTGCTATACACAGGGAAAGGTATGTAAAAATATGCAAAGGTACAATAATTTAACATTTTAAACTGGTTATTTCAAATGAAAAAGTGATAATCCACCATATTTTCTTTTGGAAAATGTTTTCGAAATATTCCTTGGCACCTTAACAACAGTTCTGAGCACTTACTCCTTGCCTGGCATTACTCCAAGTGGCTCACATGTATTAACTTCACAAACCCTCCTAACAAGCCTGTCAGGTAAGTACTACTCTCCCTTCTGAAAACGAGGAAAGTGAGGCACAGACAACTTACTCACGTTCCCCACAAACACACCGTTTGGTGAGTGGTACACTAGGTTTAAACTTAGGCATTTTGGCTTCAGAGCCTGCACTCTCTTACCCAACAATCTCTAAGTAAAAGTATCATTTACACGCACAGCTAGTGATATCTATTATGTTAATGTGTTTATGTGCATATAAGAGATATACCAGCTCACCAAATAATAAAAATTATATACATTTAATCCCTTGTCCCTGATTATTTTCTTATCTCTAAACATTGTGAGTCATACCTTTATCAACATTTTTGCAAAAAATTAAACATCTAAATATTTTTACCTCATTTTCTTGATTTCTAAAACACTTCTTAAAAATTAAAGATACTATACAAGGTATTACAATCAATATACACATACATTCTAAAAAATTAATCATCAATTAATAAAAAGATTAGGTTATAAGTTGAAATAATTAGCTATTGATATATAATATATATAATTCAATATCATAGACTAATAACTGAAATTTGAAACTTAAAAATATGTGTAATGCATTTCAAAACAGAAATTTAACTAGATATTTTCATCAATAAACAATTGACTAATTCTCACTTAATGTCACAATAGTAAGCAATCTCTATGGTAAAACTGTGACAGTGAATATGCCATTTTTGAAAGAGATACTTTAATAAAATAAAATGTTTCCTCATTTAAGTAACAAAAATGTTCATAATTACTACATATTAGTTAGAAGATATATTCCTAAGAAAGAATTCTGGTTGAAAATCAAGCATCTTAAAACCCTAAGTTAATATAAAGCAGTTTTAAACAATCAGATTCAATGGCAATATTCATAGATTTCTTAAAAGTTCGTCTACAAATACTTTTTTGAAATATGTAAGTTCCATTTCCAAAACTTCACCTCATCTCCTATATATGTCACAAAAAGTAATCTAATACATTTGTATTTAATTACATAATTATTAAGATTTCTTATTTAGCCCTGGCCAGTTTGGCTCAGCGGTTAGAGCGTTGGCCTGCGGTCCGGAGAGACCCGGGTTCGGTTCCCGCTAAGGGCACGTACCTCACTTGCGGTTTGTCCCCGGCCCTGGTTGGTCGTGCGGGTGGCAGCCACTCGATGTGTCCCTTTCACATCGATGTTTCTCTCTCTCTCTCTCTTCCTCTCTCTCCCTCCCACTCTATCTGTACAAAAAGATGGAAAAATGTCCTCGGGTGAGGATAAAAAAAAAAAAAAAAAAAAGATTTCTTATTTACTGTACATATAACATGATCAAGCAGCTCAGGTTAATTAGGTAACAGGTCTTCTTTCCAGTACAAGATTTTTAAGGGAAAAAAAGAATACTAAAACTGTAAAATTCCCTTATCAATTTACTCCACTTTCCAGTGACATCTTCACATTAATAAATAAATGTATGTCTTTGAACTTCACTTGCTACAAAACATTCAGAGTAAAAATTCAGGAAGGTTTTGGTGGTTACTGGTTCATTAGTGTGTTATCTAAACTTTAATTTCTCTACTTAAAAGTAAAGTAGAGGTATTTTTCTGACACGTACTCAACGCTTAAAACAACAAAAAGTACAAGTTGTGTTAACATAGTATTTAGAACAAAGAATATGAGAATTAAGAAACGTTATACAATAGAAATTTGCGAATATATGAAAACAGAAATTTGTGAAGATATGAATTTTTGTGGTAATCTCAAGCTTACTATTACCTCACATCTCAACGCTCATCGATTATGTACCTATAACCACTATGTATGTAATTGTGGCTCATTTTGCAAAATTCCCTTTATAAAGTTGTACCCACTTTATTATTTACCAAAAAAAACAAAACAAAACAAAAGTCAGTCCTGGCCAGTGTGACTCAGTTGGCTGAGCATCATCCTGTGTACTGAAGGGTTGCCAGATGGACTCCTGGTCAGGGCACAGTGGGGGCCATGCAGGAGGCGGCCAGTTAATGTTTCTCTCTCACACTGATGTTTGTCTCTCCCTCTCCCTTCCTCTCTCTCTAAAAGTCAATAAAAATATGTTTTTCTAATTAAGGACTTAAATCCAGATAAAATATTCAGAGAGTACATGATCTTCAATAAAATGTGTACATATAACTTTATACAAGTAAATTTCTTTAAATAATGCTAGACTTTACCGAAATGGTACATCTTACGTTAAAAAGGCATTATGTTTCAGTCTAATTTTTTTTCACGTGAATCATCAGTACACAATACAGAGAATGTTAAATCTTTCTAAATAGATAGATGCTACCATGAGAACAATTAAAATTGATTTTAATGTTCTTTAAGGAAGACAAAATTTAAAACTGTTTAAATTTTAAAAGCATTCATCTTTAACCTACTTCTCGTTCTAATCTTTCTTGAATAATGTTCTACTCTACTAATATTAATAAAAGCACACATCAAAATATTCTATTGAATTCTCTAGTGTCGGAACTACTTTTAAGGATCAGATATGATATTGTTTGGAGTCTCTTTAGCACTTTTAGAATTATGAAAACCTTTTCACATAGGAATAAATTTATGCTAAAGATTCATGGCGTGAGACAATCAACACTTCAAACTCTAAACTTAATTTCTGGGAATGACTGTTGCTATGGGACCATCTTTCAAACAATTTATACTTCAGTGCCTCTCACCACAAGGGGGTGAGCTTGCAGGGGTGGAAAGAACTGGTGGCGAGAATCACAGACTTCAAAGTCATCATTTCAAATAACACGTAACAAGCACAAAAATTAGCATTTTACTTTGAAATTTCATGTAAATTTTATATTCTTCTCCACAATATGTTTATTTTCATACAAATGTTTCTTCAAAAACTGTCAAGGAAAATGGCATTTCCTGAAAATGAACATGCTTACCTAAGACTTTAGTTCCTCCTGCCCTAGTTCCATGTGAGCCCAATTGAAGGGCAAAGAGGTCCAAGAATTTGATCGAGTACCCATTATACAGAAATATAACAGGTATTGTTTTAATTATATAAAAGTTTAATTAAATACTACAGAGAAAGTATTGCTTATTTTTATGATAGATTTCATAGCACTTCTTGCGTATTATTGAGATTTTCTGAAACCTGGAAAAGCAAAATCAGTAATTATGTTTGTCTAATACAGAAGTAGTCATCCTTCATGGACCAGGTTTTCCCTTAATACAAAAAGCAAATTGTCCATACATTCCTATTTCTCTATCTTAAATGAAGGTAACTTCAACCCATCCGTATCACCTAGGAAATACAAAGAGAAGCACCTCAGTCTTTATATGCACCTAAGCCGAGCTCCCGGCCAGATGACCTCATACCTGCGATCATGTCATCGACAGCGCTCATTTTCAGCAACACTTGTTCAATCAGCCCAACTTCCGTGCTGGTCTGCAAGTTGCGCACGCTCTTCCGCAGGACGGCGGTGAACATGCTCCAGACCTCGGCCTGGCAGGTCACGTGGCAGTGCTCCAGGAGCTCCGCCATGCACGTGATGCTCTCCGCGTCCTGGATGATGAAGTTCATCTCCAGGTCGAACTCCCCGCCGACCAGCTGAAAGACACGGGAGACACAGAGCGACTGTTATTTGTAACAATAAAATAAAACAATTCCAAACATTCGACATGAAAACTCTAGAAAATTTCACACCTTCTACACTAAAATGAATCATGATAAAAATGTGTGAGCTACATGTAAGTGAACACAGGAACTTTGCAAGAATTAAAATTTGCAAAGATAAATCTAATATTTTTTAAATGGGAAAGGGTGATTTCAAATCTGTAATAGAGCAAAATACAGCACATGACTCCTGGGGGGGGGGGGGGATTCATGGCAAATTCCTAGGAAAAAAAAATGGGTTTGGCTCTTAAAAGTGATAATGACTAGAAGATGAAATTTAAATATAAATTTTAAGACATAAAATGTAAATGTTGAAATGATAGAATCAATGTTAAAAAGTTTAGAAGAGAAATACTAACATCTTGTAAAACTTTAAAAAACAAATGAAGTGGTAGGGAAAGCTGATTTTACAGCAACATATTTGACTTGCGGCATGATGCCAAACGAGTCAAAAGTATTCCTGCACCTCCCAAACACTACTTTAAGTATAGTGGTAGACAAACACACGTGGGATAAAAGATAAGCTTTAATGATGTTCATATGTTCTACTGATTGATCACACACAAATTATTATATTCAGTTTTAAGTATCATTCTTAAAGAAGAACACTGACAAACTGGATTACCTTTTTAGTCAAGGACAGGAAACTCAGAAAGAAAACAACAGCCAAACATGGGGGTTTCAAGGTGGCAGCAGAGGAGGTGGGTCTTTCTTGCACCTCCTCCCAGGGCCAGACAGGAAACAAAACCGACTGGGAACATTCACCCGGAATAAACAACTGAGGACTAGGTGAAGAGGAGGCTTTAACAAGAAAGGACAAAAAACACCTGGAGACCAGTAGGAAGGGCAGGGGCGCGAGAGGCTGGCCCAGCTTCCGAGGGCAACAGGCCAAGAGGGGAGAGGCCGCCCCACTACAGAGGTGTCTCCCTGGGAGGATCAGGGCCCAGGGCCCAGAACGGCACCCCGCTCCCGCCCAGCCACAGAGGCGGGGGCTTCGGGAGACGGAGCGCAGGGGCTGCTCCGAGAGCAGAGCACAGGTCCACCTGCAGCCACCCGGGGAGGGCGGGACGGGAGCTGACGGAGGAGGGATGGGAGCCGGGACTGCTCCGAGAGCAGAGCACAGGTCCACCTGCAGCCACCCGGGGAGGGCGGGACGGGAGCTGAGGGAGGAGGGACGGGAGCCGGGGCTGCTCCGAGAGCAGAGCACAGGTCCACCTGCAGACACCCCAGGGAGGGCGGGACTGGAGCTGAGGGAGGAGGGATGGGAGCCGGGACTGCTCCGAGAGCAGAGCACAGGTCCACCTGCAGACACCCCAGGGAGGGCGGGAGGGGAGCTGACGGAGGAGGGATGGGAGCCAGGACTGCTCCGAGAGCAGAGCACAGGTCCACCTGCAGCCACCCCGGGGAGGGCGGGACGGGAGCTGAGGGAGGAGGGATGGGAGCCGGGACTGCTCCGAGAGCAGAGCACAGGTCCACCTGCAGCCACCCCGGGGAGGGCGGGACGGGAGCTGAGGGAGGAGGGATGGGAGCCGGGACTGCTCCGAGAGCAGAGCACAGGTCCACCTGCAGCCACCCCGGGGAGGGCGGGACGGGAGCTGAGGGAGGAGGGATGGGAGCCGGGACTGCTCCGAGAGCAGAGCACAGGTCCACCTGCAGCCACCCGGGGAGGGCTGGACGGGAGCTGACGGAGGAGGGATGGGAGCCGGGACTGCTCCGAGAGCAGAGCACAGGTCCACCTGCAGCCACCCGGGGAGGGCGGGATGGGAGCTGAGGGAGGAGGGATGGGAGCCGGGACTGCTCCGAGAGCAGAGCACAGGTCCACCTGCAGCCACCCGGGGAGGGCTGGACGGGAGCTGACGGAGGAGGGATGGGAGCCAGGACTGCTCCGAGAGCAGAGCACAGGTCCACCTGCAGCCACCCGGGGAGGGCGGGAGGGGAGCTGAGGGAGGAGGGATGGGAGCCAGGACTGCTCCGAGAGCAGAGCACAGGTCCACCTGCAGCCACCCCGGGGAGGGCGGGAGGGGAGCTGACGGAGGAGGGATGGGAGCCGGGACTGCTCCGAGAGCAGAGCACAGGTCCACCTGCAGCCACCCGGGGAGGGCGGGAGGGGAGCTGACGGAGGAGGGATGGGAGCCGGGACTGCTCCGAGAGCAGAGCACAGGTCCACCTGCAGCCACCCCGGGGAGGGCGGGACTGGAGCTGAGGGAGGAGGGATGGGAGCCGGGACTGCTCCGAGAGCAGAGCACAGGTCCACCTGCAGCCACCCGGGGAGGGCGGGAGGGGAGCTGACGGAGGAGGGATGGGAGCCGGGACTGCTCCGAGAGCAGAGCACAGGTCCACCTGCAGCCACCCGGGGAGGGCGGGACGGGAGCTGACGGAGGAGGGATGGGAGCCGGGACTGCTCCGAGAGCAGAGCACAGGTCCACCTGCAGACACCCCGGGGAGGGCGGGAGGGGAGCTGACGGAGGAGGGATGGGAGCCAGGACTGCTCCGAGAGCAGAGCACAGGTCCACCTGCAGACACCCAGGGAGGGCGGGATGGGAGCTGAGGGAGGAGGGATGGGAGCCGGGACTGCTCCGAGAGCAGAGCACAGGTCCACCTGCAGCCACCCGGGGAGGGCGGGAGGGGAGCTGACGGAGGAGGGATGGGAGCCGGACTGCTCCGAGAACAGAGCACAGGTCCACCTGCAGACACCCCAGGGAGGGCGGGAGGGGAGCTGAGGGAGGAGGGATGGGAGCCGGGACTGCTCCGAGAGCAGAGCACAGGTCCACCTGCAGCCACCCCAGGGAGGGCGGGAGGGGAGCTGAGGGAGGAGGGATGGGAGCCGGGACTGCTCCGAGAGCAGAGCACAGGTCCACCTGCAGCCACCCCAGGGAGGGCGGGAGGGGAGCTGAGGGAGGAGGGATGGGAGCCGGGACTGCTCCGAGAGCAGAGCACAGGTCCACCTGCAGCCACCCGGGGAGGGCGGGATGGGAGCTGAGGGAGGAGGGATGGGAGCCGGGGCTGCTCCGAGAGCAGAGCACAGGTCCACCTGCAGCCACCCGGGGAGGGCGGGATGGGAGCTGAGGGAGGAGGGATGGGAGCCGGGACTGCTCCGAGAGCAGAGCACAGGTCCACCTGCAGCCACCCGGGGAGGGCGGGATGGGAGCTGAGGGAGGAGGGATGGGAGCCGGGACTGCTCCGAGAGCAGAGCACAGGTCCACCTGCAGACACCCCAGGGAGGGCGGGATGGGAGCTGAGGGAGGAGGGATGGGAGCCGGGACTGCTCCGAGAGCAGAGCACAGGTCCACCTGCAGCCACCCGGGGAGGGCGGGATGGGAGCTGAGGGAGGAGGGACGGGAGCCGGGACTGCTCCGAGAGCAGAGCACAGGTCCACCTGCAGCCACCCCAGGGAGGGCGGGAGGGGAGCTGAGGGAGGAGGGATGGGAGCCGGGACTGCTCCGAGAGCAGAGCACAGGTCCACCTGCAGCCACCCGGGGAGGGCGGGATGGGAGCTGAGGGAGGAGGGATGGGAGCCAGGACTGCTCCCAGAGCAGAGCACAGGTCCACCTGCAGCCACCCGGGGAGGGCGGGACGGGAGCTGAGGGAGGAGGGATGGGAGCCGGGACTGCTCCGAGAGCAGAGCACAGGTCCACCTGCAGCCACCCGGGGAGGGCGGGATGGGAGCTGAGGGAGGAGGGATGGGAGCCGGGACTGCTCCGAGAGCAGAGCACAGGTCCACCTGCAGCCACCCGGGGAGGGCTGGACGGGAGCTGACGGAGGAGGGATGGGAGCCGGGACTGCTCCGAGAGCAGAGCACAGGTCCACCTGCAGCCACCCCAGGGAGGGCGGGAGGGGAGCTGAGGGAGGAGGGATGGGAGCCGGGACTGCTCCGAGAGCAGAGCACAGGTCCACCTGCAGCCATCCGGGGAGGGCGGGAGGGGAGCTGAGGGAGGAGGGATGGGAGCCGGGTGGGAGGCAGGTGCTGGCCCGCCCACCTCCGCTCACTGGCCAGGCTCCCTGAGACACGCCCCCCGCCCTCAGGGGTGCGGCTCAGCCCACCCACGGGAATCTCCCTGCCTATGGGCCTCGCAGGATCCTGGGGTGTCAGCGATGGCGGTGGGCGAGAGGAGGAAGAACGCCTGGCTTCGGGAAGACGTCACTAGACTGCACGCACAGGGCTCGGCCCAGTCGAGGACAAGGGCATATTCCAGGGCGGCCTCAGGAGGGCTCTGGGGCAGTGGAACACAGCCAGCATCTTCCCTGAAACAGGAACAGCACCTCCCATTCATGAGACACCCAGAGGTCTGATGCTCCCGATTCACCCAAAACACCTTTCAGAAACAGTCTCTTCAGTGACTAAGACTGACCGCTGGCCGGCAGGTGGAGGCGGGCAGAGGCAGTGTCCCAAGAGCCTTGGGACGTTGCTGACCCCTCCGGGCCCCATGCTGCCAACAAGCCAGCCCTGGGGTGCAGGAGGCCCCTGCTGCGTCCCGCCAAGCCCAGCAGAGGCACCCAGACTTTGCAATGCGGAGAGCCCAAGGCGGACAGCTTCTCAGTCCCCGGAACAGAGGGCCCCCGGGAGGCTGCGGGAACAGTCGGCCAGTCAACCTAACAGCAGGATCCAAAGCAAGCTCCCAGGAGGCACTGAACTCTCTTGGGACAAATACCACACAATTTTTTTTTTTTTGCATTTTCTTTATTGCTTTATTATTTTTGTGTCTTTTACTTTCGTATCTATTATTTTTCTCTTCCCTTTGCTTACTCTATGTTTTTCTTCTTTCCCTTTCTTTTCTGTTGTCCATTTTTATATATTGGCTTCCTTCTTTCTCTTTTTTCCTTTTCATAATTTTTTCCTCTTTGTATTATACCATTTTCCTAGTCTTTATTCTTATTTTTCTCTCCATTCTTTCATTTTTCTTCCTCTTTTTTGTTCTTGTATTTTTCTGTCTTTT